TGAAATTTAACTTTGATATCAACTGAAATTTCATACCTTTTCGCTTCCGAGCTTGTGAGAAGTATTGGGTATTGCTGAGGAATTTTACAAAGATCTTAATGCAACTTTCCTGATCTTAATTAAGAACGTGTTTAATTAGACAATAAAAAGTTAGGGTTAACTGAAGAGCTTGTTTTGGTTAATTTAACTAGGTAAAAGAGATTATACTAGAGCTTGTTAGTTTTTCTCAGTACCTCCATAGATATAAACGCATTTTGAATAACCAAATCTGAGATGATTGCATGATTAGGAAAGTCGCTGCAGAGTTGAATTCGTTTTTATTACTGATTTCATTTATTTTATTTTCACTGCAATTTTTTGTTTTAATTAATAACCAACCCCCTGTTTATATTTTTATGTTTTTGGACTAGTATGTGCCTTATGAAAAGAGGCATTGACCATTAAACTGTGTCCATGAGGATTCGATCATGCTTCCGTGTGTTATCCTTTAGTGCAACCAAGCAGTGAAAATATTATTTACTTAAATCGTGCGCGACAACGGTTTAACATAGTGGCTTTAAATAGGGAACAAACCTAAAGATCTAGCGTTTTACACCAAAATAGCCACCATGTTGTGGCAAAGGCCTTTCCACGTCATCGTGCTTCACAACTTGGTGTTCCTTAATCAGACGATGCCACGTCATGGTGCCTCAGCCACCACGTCGTGGCCCATACAAAAACCTCAAAAATTATATTACAAATAAATTAAACGTGGAAAAATCATAAACTAGAAAACGAATGTTACAATTCTACCCTACTTGAATCATATTTCTTCCTTGAAATCCATTGTTGTGAACAAATCGGGGTAATCCCTCCTCATCTCCTCCTCGGGTTCCTAAGTCTATTCAAAACCCTTCCGATGCTGCCATTACACCTTAACCAAGCCCACCGCCTTGATGCACAAGTACTTTGTCTCCCTGCCAAGAATCGTTACTGGTCGCTCAACATAATTCTGGAGCTCATCGACTTGAATATCATCCAATGGAACTAAAGTTGTCTCATCGGTTACACACTTTTGCAATTGAGAAACATGGAAAGTTATATAAATCTGACTCAGCTCCTCCGGTAACTCCAATGGGTAGGCTACCCTACCCTGGCCGTGGCTTGGAACAAACTGATGATTCTGGGGCCCAACTTACCCTGCTTCCTGAAACAAATGACACCCTTCCAGGAGGAGACCTGCAGAAGTACCATATCCCCAACCTGACACTCTAAATCTGAACGGTGTCCATCCACATAACTCTTCTGTCAATGCTAAGCCGTCAGCAATGTCTGTCTAACCTGCTGAATAAGCTCCATTGTCTTGAGCACCACCTTCGTGCTCCCCATGACTCTCTGCCCCACCTCTCCCCAGCAAACCGAGTTCTGATAATTTCTCCCATATAGAAGCTTGTACGGAGGGATACCGATGATAACATGATGGTTGTTGTTGTCGGAAAACTTAGCCAAAGAAGGTAGGAGTCCCAGCTCCCATCGAAATCAATGATGCATGCCCTCAACATATCATCGAGTGTCTGAATAGTCTGCTCACTCTGGCCATTTGTTTGCGGATGATATGTAGTACTAAAATGAAGCCTAGTACCCAACTCCTCATGGAACCTCTTCCATAACCTAAAAGTAAATCGAATATCTCGATCTGAGACTATAGAAAGAGGCACCCCGTGATGATCCACAACCTCTAGAATATAGAGTTCGGCCAATTTCTTGGTCGGGGAGCTCTCTAGAATAGCAAGGAAATGGGAACTCTTGTTCAAACGATCCACAATAACCCAAATAGCATCAAGACCCTTGGTCATGCTTGGTAACTTGGTAATAAAATCCATGGTGATCTACTCCCATTTCCACACATGGATCTCTAAATACTGCAACTTACTATGTGGTATCTGATGCTCGTCCTTGACCTTCTGACATGTAAGGCACCTTTTGACATAACACACTATCTCCCTCTTCATGCAGAGCCACTAATAACTGAGTCTCAAGTCTCGATACATTTTTTTCGTGCCAGCATGAATTGAGAACTTAGACTTATGAGCTTCCTCAACACTATTTGGTGAACTCTGCTGGAAATCGGAAACCAGACCCTACAGTACTAAGTCAAAAGCTCGCACCTATCAGCAACAAAATTAGCAATCTAACCTCTGATCGTCTCCTTTTTCCAGTTCTCCTTCTTGATTCCTTTCGCCTTGGCTTCTCGGATCATATCCAAAAGTGGTGAAATGATGGTCATCCTTAAACATAGGTATCGAATAGGAGTAGCAACTATCTTGTGGTTTAAAGGATCGGCCACCACATTGGCCTTCCCCGGGTGATATAAGATCTCACAATTGTCATCCTTCACCGCATCCAGCCCCATGCATTGCCTCCTGTTTAGATTCGGCTGATACATGAAGTATCTCAAACTCTTGTGATCCGTGTAAATGGTACAACAAACCCCATATAAATAACGGCACCAAATCTTTAGGGAAAAAATCACTGCCCCTATCTCGAGATCATGAGTGCGATAATTCGTCTTATGAGGCTTCAGTTGCCTCGAAGTGTAAGCTATCACACGCCCTCTCTGCATCAAACTGGCACCCATACCTAAAATTAATGTGTCACAATACACCACAAAGTTACCAACTCCCTCAGGGAGTCCTAGAACCAACGCCTCACATAACTTCTTCCATAAGGTCTTGAATGTTGCCTACTGCTCAGACCCCCAACGGGAAGTGACATCCATCCTTTTCAACCGGGTGAGAGGGACTACAATTTTGGAGAAATCTTGGATGAACCTCCTATAGTAACCTGCCAACCCAAGTAAACTCTGAATCTCAAATGGAGATCTTGGAATTTCCCATTACATCATCGCCTTAATCTTGGCCGCGTCGAATCAAATACCATCCTGGTTGACGAGATGTCCTAGGAATTGGACCTCGCAAAACCAAAACTCGTATTTAGAGAACTTGGCATACAACCTCTCCGCTCGCAGAAATCCAAGAATCTCGTGAAGGTGTTCCTTGGTCGTAGAGTAGACCAAATATCATCAATAAAAACAATCACCGATCGATCCAACATTAGCCTACATACCTGGTTCATGAGATCCATTAACGTCACTGTTGCGTTAGTGAGTCCAACAGGCATCACCACGAACTCATAATAGCCATAATGAGTTCGGAAGGTCGTCTTCTGAATGGCATCCTCCCTAATCATTATCTGATGGTAGCTTGACCTCAAATCGTCTCCCAAAAGATCAGGCACCTCTCTATACCTGATACACAACCTGAGCGGCCTATACCCTTCTTTACCTAATACTAGGCATTCCAGCAAGGAACTACTAGCCACAGAAAGTTCTTTGCACGACAGATTCCTGTTGTGAGGACATCCCATGCGTTCCTGAAGACATAAATCTTAGAGCGACTTGCTCTGCACTTATGATCCGACCAATTCTTGAATTCTTTTGATCATAAAGAAATCCAACGAATCCTTGAGAGACATAACGAGGAAACTTACTAACCATGATAACTTTAATGATAACCTATTTCCCTTCACTATGCAGTAGTAGACCTAAACCAAAACCTCACATACTTGAATTGCATATTCCTTGACTCGTTGTACTGAAACCACAAGGTCGAACAGTACATTTATCCTCTAATTAGATTACTCAGTTCTCCCCCACTTGGGTTTGAACTATCACCGATAAACATCTGCAAACAACAAAGCCTCAAACTAGCTCAACCAGATACATACCTGTAAGTACCAACACTCGGATCTTCTAAAGTATCAATGTTATTGTTTGGATTAATGCAGAATCTTAATCAAACAATTGTACGAAACAAACAAGCAGTTAGATGAACCAATGAATACGTTTATATGAATGCACACAATTCTATTAATCAATTGTCAGGTACATTCAAATATTCTAAAACCAAGAATATGTTCTAACTCACCAAAAACGCATTGACCTGAAATAGCTATACATAGACCATATTTATACTACACCAATTAACCTGAAGCCGAAAGACAACAAGCCCACCGAAAACACTAAGCCCATTAACGATTTTGATCTACAACCGAGAACATATATGACATACAAAACAAAGCATAAACCACAAAATATAGCCCAACAATCTCCCCCTTGGTTTATTGCTTTTAGTTCTCTTCAAGGCTTTTCCACGAGATACACGTCCGCCTGATCAAATGCCCCAACCCACAGCTTTTGTTCAATAATGGTAGCAACCATTTCGGTGAAGGCTTTTGCGGCAGCTTCAAACAATTCATTCTCAACAATTATTTGAAAGTTTGACAAAGTTCGGATATCACGTTCAAAAAAATTCAACAAGTCTTTGGGATCAACAATGCGATATTGGTTCTTCTTCAGCTTGATCACTGCTGATGCAGTAACCTCATCATAAACCCAGAATTGCATTGAATCCAAAGTACCCTCTGGTAAACGTTTGGGAAGTGGGATTGTTTTAGCTTGCTTTGTAGGCGGTCACATAACATTCACCATGGTTTTGTTAGTACGAGGATCAATGACACCCTTGGCCTTTTTCGTAAACGATGAAGCAGTCTTCGTGCCTTCAAATTTATTTTTAGCTTTAGCCTCAAGAAACTTCTTAAAAGACTAGGCCATGGTTTCATTGCTTGGATTGTGGAAAAGAGCGTGGATGAGTTCAGAAAGATCAACTTTTGTCCACGACAAGAAGTCAACTTTCTTCTCATAATATTCAACTCGTCCGCTCTTTCGCTTTACGATCCACATTTTCTTATCAGCTTCATATCCCCACATCAAAATACCATAGCGGTCCCCATATTTATCTGTAAATTTTTTACCAATCTCCCTGTGAAACATCTCAAGATGATCACCTGGAGCATTTTGGTCAGAATGTTTCATCACCAACATCTTCCCTCTTAGCCGCTCAACCCTGATTTGTTTCTCTCTTCTTTCTTGAGCAGAAGTAGGACCAGAAGATAAAAATGTGTCAAGATTTTTCTTCCAGAGCAGGTCTTACAACTCTTTCACTTGCAGGTTGAGAAGTTGGATTGACTAGACCAGAAATAGAAGCAAAAATCTTTTCTCCTTCAACGCTTAAAGGTTGAAAATCATCACCAAACTTTTGATGCAAGCGCTGTTTCAGGTTAAAGAATAAAGTAGTTAGACCACCAAGATTTGCTTTAAGTTCTGAAATCTTTGCATCTTTAATGGAGTTCTCCTTTTCAAGATCACTGATTCTAATGTCCTGCTTTCCAATAATCAAATCCTTTTCAGCTGAACTCTGTTCCAAATCAAAAACTCTGTTATGAAGCAGAGTGACATCTACAAACTCAGACTCAGGCAACCTGCTCTTGCCTTTTGAAATATCTAGCTCGGGGGCTTCAAAGGAACTTCCAGAAGCTTGACCTCCTTCCGAAAGTAAGACTTCTTGTTCAATAATTGGGCCATAAAAGTCTTGATCCATAGGAGTGGATTCAGGTAACAGGCTTGAAATCTATTGCATCACTGGAGAGGAGTCAGTGAATGTGCTTTCAATATTTTGGGCCACAGAACTAGGTTCAATCAGAGTAGATACATTTTGAACAGGGTCTATGATAAGTACTCCAGGTCTTGGATCTCTTCCATTTCTTTTCCTCGGGAGTAGAACGTGAGATGAATCTTCTTGATCACTCTCAGATGGAGGTTCAGTTGTAACAGGAATTGTTTGGGGAGGCTTCCTCGCAGTTCGCTGAAGTTCAGTAATAAGAGCATCCATCTGTTCAGGGGTAGGTGAATAAAATTGCACAGTTGAATCACGATCTCTTTCAATCACAGCAGAAGGTATGACAGCAAAATCCTCTTCAGGGAATGATATACTTTGAAGAAAATCTTCAAGCTCATTCTCAGTCATATCCTTTTCTTGAACCTCTTCTTCATCATCGGATATTCCAACCTCTTCAAATGCAAATGGAAATTTTGATTTAGGTGCCACGTGTTCCTCGGCAACCTCAGCATTAATGAAACTAGCAGCAGGAGTGTTTTCAACTTCAGCAAACATTCCAAACTTAACCAACTCCTTTAACCCTTGATAGGCGACTTTGGCAGCTTTTCTTGATTGCTTCATGAGTCCAATGGTGTTGGGACCCAAAGCTTTCATGTCCAAAGTATCAAACGACCTCTCAATTTTGAGGATATTTTTCATTTAGAACCATTTGAAGAAATCTAGGATACATCAAAAATAGGTCCTTCTTCTTCCCTTGAAGATTTCTCTTCATTTCTTCAAAAATAAACTTTGAAAAATTATAATCCCAGTTCATTGCTAAAGCAACAATAGCTGAGGTTGCAGTCTGACTAATCTAATCAGATCCTCCCTTCCTTCCAGAAATGCAACTCACAAAGTAGTGTGCCAGAAATCTCCAGTAAGGTGGCAACAACTTTTTGGTGGTGGGAGGATAGGTTCCTTCAGAACACATCTTCTCAAGGACTTCCCTCACTTGATCAGCAGAATACTCAATTGGAAATTCAGATGCATCACCAAATTCAAGTACTTCTCTGATAACTTGCTCAGAAAAATTACTTGAGTTCCCTTCACCATTGGTTCAATGGTACTAGCTCCATCTGCTCCCTACTTGTTGATTGAAGCATTTTTCCAGAACTCAGTAATTAAGTCTTTGTGGATAACTGGATTAGCACGGAGGGCATGAGAAATCCTGCAGTTGTTCAAACCCACCATCATGGATTTGAACTCTTGATGAGCAGCAGGTGGATCTATAAGATATCCATCAACATTGTGGGAATCTACAAATTTAATCTGCTCTGCCATTTATCTGCACCAAACTTGCTAAGTGAGAATTAATTTAAAAATGAATTAAATTAAGTTTATAATTTGATTTCGGTTGAAGTCAAAGATTTAATCGATTTCCGTCAAAACTGTTCGATTTCGGTCAAAAGACATTTGACCACACGTTTTTGGCCGAGAACCCCGATTCCGGTTGGATCTGAATCGATTTCGGTCAAATCCAGATTGAATTGAAAACCCTCAGAAATTGTTCTAATTCAGAGTTTTTGAAAAACCTTCGAACAATCCATTCAATACCTGCAAATCTATGAAAATATGTACACCAAAGACACTTTAAACATCATATCCATGATCGAAAACCATATATCTACCTGATTCACCGAAGGATTTGTAACACAAACATCGAAAGCAGGCAAATTTTAGAAAATTTTGAAAAAGCTTGAGAGAGGACAACAATGGCGGATTGAGGTTTTGAGTGGTAAACCCTAATCAGCCGAAAAGAAAGGTATATATACCCCCAAAAACGGCCTAGATGGCCCACCGCAAAGATTTCGGCCCAAAATGAAAATAACCCAAAAAAAACTTTAAAAAAAATTTCTTTTGTTTTTACGTTTCAAAAACGAAAAACAGAATTAAAAATTAAACACACTATTAACAATTTAAATTAATAATAAACATTTTAATTATTTTAATTTATTAATTTATTTTTTTTAATTTTTTAATTTTTACATTTTTTTATATTAAAAATAATTTTTTTTATTACATTTATTATCCCCCCCCCTAAATTTGTGCATAACAATGAAAATATGTACAAATTTAAATAAAAAATAAAAAGTAATCCAGAATAAAAACTTTTGGGATCAAACGTTATAGAACAAATTGATGAGGTTTATCAGCACACACCTTCATGAAAAAAACTCTGGTCAATCATTGATATTGTGATCCACTTAAACACAAAGAACCCTTTTCAGGACAAATTATGAGTGAAAATATATAGCTACTATATTCCTAGATAGACCATTTTGTCTGACGACAACCAATGATATTGTTGTCCACTTAAATTTAGCCAGCAAAATATAGCAGTCAGCCTTTTAGTTATGGGTGTAGTTAATGTTAGTACACTAGAACATGTTCCCCACTTCATGACATACTCCAGTAATCAAGGAAGTTTCCTCAAAATCCTTTACTTCAGGTAAGTGGATAATCATTGTGGAATGCATATGTTGTGTCCCAGGTCGGATCCACCGATCACACAGAGGGGACAACATATGACTAACATAGAGAGTAGAATATTTGAGATTTGTAGAAGAAAACATACTGACATAGAAGCAGTGAACATCATCTGAGTGCATATGTTCTGTCCCAGGTCGGATCTTCCGATCACACAAAGGGGACAACATATGGCTGGCTATAGAAAGAAGAATAACGATTTTAAACAGACCCAATTTATCAGAACCCCTTAGTCACCCCTATCAACACCAAAATTAAGGACACAAGTCCATATGCCAATGAAGTGTTGATCCATCGATCTAGATGATAGTTAGCTTCAATTTATGTCAGAGGCTTCCTTGTCTATTTTATTGTTAAACTTATCCAAGCGTCGTATTGTCAGTCCAAGCGATGTTTTCTAAGTTCAAATGAATCCACATTGTCTAGTTCATTAGTTTAAGTCCTTTGTGCCTACCAACACATTGAACACAGAGTTTATACAATTTAGCTTCAGTGCTTTACACGTATTTAGTTTTCCCTTTATCACTAACTTGTATCACTTCCCAAAAGGTTGACACAAAAAAAAACCTTTACAAAAAAAATAGAACAGAATGAAAGAAAATAAGAAATACAAAATAAAAATGAAAATAAATTTCGGTTTTCGAAACACATCATCTTAACAAATCTCACAAGCACGAGCTTGGTTTTAAGAAAAATTAGATTTTTGGACAATTGAAGATCAACATTATTATTACAGAGAAGAGATGAGTCAGAAAATTCAAGCCCTTATTCAGCAATCGAAGAAATCCCCATTTGTGATCTTTCCTTTTTCGTTTCCCGCAAAGGACACATGCTCTCCATGAAAATTTTGAAAGTCAAGCATAAGAGAGATGTCCCCTATCATGTGCCTGGAACAGCCACTATCAACATACCAAAGTCTATTGATATTCCTCCATAGCTGTTCCGGCACAGAGAGTGGGATCAATAGGTATTCGGAACCCAATCCATTTTGAAACTAGGTTGACCTTTACCATCAACACATGATACTCTTTCCCAACTCATATCCTGTTTATCAAAAATAGAAAAAGAAGAGACGTTAGAATTTTTAGGTAATTTGGGAATTGAAACCTTTGGAACCCATTTGTAGTCGGGTTTAACCGTTTTCTTGTTTAATCGGATGGATGTTTCAGCACTTGATTTAGAGCTTGAGACCGATTACTGAGATGACTTTAACCTCATCGATCTTGGTCTGACTGAACTATTTCTCAAATTGGTCTTCTTGTCCGACATGCCCTTTTTGGCCTTAGGAGTTTGATTCTTGGCCTTTTTAGCATTCCAATCACCACTGCTTGAACATGACCTTGAAAGATTTCTTGTGGAAGATCTCCCCCTAGGCACATTCTGCCATTCTTGTTTATAGTAAGGGGCATATGGACGATGTGGGCAATTTCTAGCAATGTGACTGGGAGTCCCACAGTTGAAACAAGTTTGACTTTTCAACTAAATAAGAATGTGACTTGATCCTTGTCCAAATGACTTTTGTTTCAGAGACCTTCCATAATCACAAACACATTTATTAGCCTTTTTGACAAAATTTTGTGGCTTGGATTTTTCTACAGTGGAATTATTATCATCACAAGCTTTTGAAGCCCTGTCAGCAGAGCTGGAATTAATTTTGTTCTGATCGAACCCATCTTGCACAGTTACTTCAACTGTACATGAAGTAGATGTATTTGGATCATTCACATTAGTGCTCTCAGATGTGTCGGATCATTTAGTCTTGACTGGGGCAGTTACAGGGGGCTGGCCATGTTGTGTTGGAGTCTCTGTCTCTTTGGTTTCAAGGGATGGAGTATAGTTATCATTGAAAGGAGGTGAAACATTATGATACCCTAGACCCACACCCTGTTTGTCTTTCCACGTTAATTGTTTCTCAATCATAGATTCAACCTTCTCAGTTGACACATCGACTTTCTTTAATGTAAAGTCAGCATCCTCAAATTTAGCCTTCAATGCATCAAGCTCAGCAGTTAAGTTTGCAATTTTCTCCTTGGCAAGCCGATAGTGAACACATTTGGTGTTGTACTCTTCTTTAATCTTGCTTAAATCTTTTGATTGAGCTTCTAATTTTTACTTAAGCGGTTTATTTATTTTCTTGATTTCATATATTTCGTTTTTGAGGTCAAAAACCTCTCTGACCAATAATTCATTATGTTCATGGTATTTATTTATTTATTTTTTCCTCACAAGATTGAGAACATGAGGTTTCATTTATCTTCTTGGTGATTGAAGAACTCATTATTCATCAAAGAAAATTTGACCGAAAATTAAAACTTAAATGTTTTCTGACCCAAAACACTCTGTTGACCGAGAACCTTGAAGGTCAAATTGTTTGACCGAAATCCCTGAAAGTCAAAAGATTGACCGAGAACAGTTAGCCGAGAACTAACTATTTTGACCAAGTCTTTTCACCGAGAATGTTACTCAGCCGCCGAAAACGTTGAAACTAAGTTGAAAACGAAAATTTCTTTCAAGTTTCCTTATCCAGTGAATCCCAAAATTTTGTAAGTAATCAAAAACGATTTCCAACAGAATATCTTCCAAAATCAGTGAAGAATCACCAAAAGAATGATGAACACGAAGAACAACTCAAACCTTTTCCAATACAACTCAAAAACACCTCAAACTAACAAGTCTTTCGAAAAGCAATTGATACCAAACAGCCTTAAGTCAAGGCTCTGATACCACTTGTAAGTCCCAAAACTCGGATCTTCTAAAGTATCAATGCTATTGTTTGGATTAATGTGGTATCTTAATCAAACAATTATACAAAACAAACAAGAAGTTAGATGAACCAATGAATACGTTTATATGAATGCACTGTTGGGTTATGAGCAAAACAACATTCCTATGGTGTTCATGCAAACCCTAATGCTTGGATCTAGTTTTTCTATTTGTGCATGCAACAATTGTCCAAGACTTGCAAACCCTAATGTAGCATACAACAAAAATCAAAATTAACATCTAATAAACAAGTTAGAAAGTTACCTTTTATTGTTGCTTGAAGAGCTTGAGCTTTTAAGAAACCTAGCACCTCAAATGCGATGCCTCTAATGAACTACAAACACCAAAAGAAATTGAATGATCTTGGAGAGAGGGGAAGGCTGAAATCGACTCTTAAAATCTTTCTAGGGTTTCTGATAGCCGAATTGTAGTGCCCTGTGGTCCTTTATATAGGTGAGAAATTAGGGTTTCAGTCAAAGACCTCATCCGGTTGCTTAGGCTCTACGCAGCCCACAAGAATCTTCCAGAACCTAGGCCCTTGGACAAAATCCTTATGGGCTCCCATAAAATTTTGTCCAACCCCTTCCCAAGGGTTCCTCAGCCCACTATGCAACTATCTTATAATTACAATATCAGTCCCCCAAAGTTTAATTAATATCTTTTGACCACAAAATTAATTCTAAATTAATTCTTGACCAATATTAATTAAGCAAATATGATTTCTCCTTTAATATATTATTCATATAATGTATTAATAAACCATAATAACCTCTTTCTCCATTATTCATCCAGTCAAGTTGCTCTGGTGAAGGCAACCCAAAAGGACCATGCTACAACCGGGTCAAGTACATACCAAATATAGTTATGGCTTAGACACCTAATCCAACAGTCTCCCACTTGGATAAGTCCAATAACTATAAATGCAAGTACGACTTCAAAATCCGATTAGCAATCGTAGCACTCAAAAGCCACTGTCGAACTCTGACACGTCCTTTAGATAAGGGATCGTATAGTCCTCTATTCTCAAGATATCGTGTGGAAAATTACATGAAACATAGTCATACTTATTGTCCTGCAGTTTGTTTCTAGATCTCTTATTTGTCTGACATAGAACTTAATTGAACACATCAATTCAGTCCTGACCGGACCCGACACATAAGTCAAAACAATATCATCGAGGGGCCCAAGATATCGCTTTTAGCCTCGTAGGATAAAAGGAACAAATAAACTTCGACTTATATGCTTGTACTATTTACTCATCAAATCGTACACAACAATGTGTTTTATAACATCAAGTTACTGATGCGTTTACGCATTATCAATGCACAACCGACTTGTAAACAACAAATCATATATCTAGGTTTAAATACTATATGATATTATCATCTCACAATCACTCGTGATTAAATTCCATGAAGTGATTCATGTGAGTGCGGGTTTATTCCAATACTTAAATCATATTTCATAAGCACTCATGAACGTTGCAGCAAATGTTTTCTATGTCTAAACACTTAGACAATATACAAACCAATTTATGACAGTCTTCTTTCTTACCTGTGGATAGTTTAAATAATTTTGTTATTTAGGAAGTCAAAACATGCAAAGTGAAACAATAGTAAATAATTAACACAAGATAGTAACTTTACATATAAATAAAACTCCTTTATTTAATCATCAAATGTTAATTACAATTTATCTATTACATGTTTCTAAAGCAATCTAATCACATAAAACTAATATCGTCCTTCAGCCCAATGCTCCTAGCATGCTGCAAGTGCTTAACCCTACTCAGTCCCTTCGTAAGGGGATCAGCTGGGTTCTCTTCTGACGATACCCTCTTAACTACGAGGAGTCCCTCTTCTACTCGATGTCAAATGAAATGATATTTTTCTGTCGATATGCCTGGATGTGCCATGATCCCTCGGTTCCTTGGTTAAGGCAACCACACCTTTGTTATCGCAGAAAATCTCCATTGGCTCCTTTATGGCCGGTACAACTCCAAGGTCTCCGATGAAGTTCTTTAGCCATATCGCCTTCTTCGACGCTTCACTTGCTGCTATGTACTCTGATTCGCACGTTGAATCAGCTATAGTCTCCTGCTTGGAACTTTTCCATGTCACTGCTCCTCCATTCAGGGTAAAGACCCAGCCCGACTGCGAGCGGAAATTATCCCGGTCAGTCTGAAAACTAGCATCACTATACCCTCGCACTCTCAAGTCGTCACTCCCACCGAGGATAAGAAACCATTCCTTAGTCCTCCGAAGGTACTTAAGAATATTCTTTTTTAGTGGTCCAATGTGCTCTACCAGGGTTCCCTTGATATTTGCTGACCATGTTCAAAGCGAAGGCCACATCAGGGCGAGTACATGTCATATCATACATAATTGAGCCAACTGCGGAAGCATAAGGTACTCTTCTCATTTCTGCTATCTCAGCATCGGTACTCGGGCTTTGAGTCTTACTCAACTTGGTATTGCTTTGGATTGCTTACTCGCTTTTCTTGAAATTTTCCATGCTGAAACGTTTCAACACTTTATCCAAGTAAGTACTTTGACTAAGTCTTGTTAGTCTTTTACTCCTATTTCTCAAAATCCTTACCCCAAGAATATAAGCAGCTTATCCAAGGTCCTTCATAGTGAAGCACTTCCCAAGCCAGTACTTAACCTCCTGTAAAGTTGGGACGTCGTTTCCTATGAGCAGTATGTCGTCCACATGCTAAACAAGAAAGCTAACTATACTCCTACTGGATTTGACATACACACATGACTCATCATCGCTTCTCGAAAAACCAAACTCTTTGACTTTCTCATCGAAACAAAGATTCCATCTGCGAGACGCTTGTTTCAATCCATAAACTGATTTCTCAAGCTTACACACTCTATTAGGGTGCTATGCATTGACAAAACCCTCTGGCTGACTCATGTAAACATCTTCAGCCAACTTCCCATTAAGGAAAGCGGTTTTGACATCCATTTTCCATATTTCATAGTCATGAAATGCAGCTATGGCTAGCATAACCCTTATAGACTTAATCTTTGCAACTGACGAGAAGGTCTCATCATAGTCAACTCCGACAGTTTAAGTAAAGCCCTTCGCAACCAATCGCGCCTTATACGTGTGTACTTTCCCATCCATGTCGGTCTTCTTATTGAAGATCCATTTTCACCTGACCGTATTATGACCTTGCACATTGTCAACCAAGTTCCAAACTTGATTGTCATACATGGACTGAATCTCGCTGTCCATAGCCTCTTTCCATTTTATAGACTTCGGGCCTGCCATGGCTTCCTTGTAGGTGTTAGGTTCATCCAAATTTACTAGTATACTATCACTAATAAACGTATCACCCTCAGCAGTTATATGGAAACTATCTAATACGGGCGGAACATTAACACTACTGGAACGTCTAAGAGGTAAGGACTCGTCAATCGGTTCAACAGGAGTTTCCTCCTCGGGTTGAGCGCCAGTGTTAGAGGTTCCTTCATCGTTTGATTCTTGAAGCTCCTCAAGATCAATTTGCCTCCCACTGTCCTCTTGGCATATGAGTTCTCGCTCTCGGAAATCCCCTCTCCTCGCAACGAAGACAACATTGTCACTCGGTCTATAGAAGAGATATCCAAAGGACTTTTACGGATAGCCGATGAAAATACACCGCTCACTACGAGGATCGAGCTTGTCGTGAGTCTCTTTTCTTATGAAAGCCTTGCAACGCCAAACCTTGATATGTGCCAACGAGGGAGCTTTCCCTGTCCACATCTCTTGAGGTGTTTTGGCAACCTTCTTATTCGGGACTAGATTAAAGATATGTGCAGTAGTTTCTAAGGCATACGCCCAAAATGAGATAGGTAACGAAGCATGAATCATCATGGAACGGACCATGTCCAGCAAGGTTCAATTACGCCTCTCAGCTACACCATTCAACTGCGGTGTCCTAGGCGGCATCAATTGCGAAACAATTCTGCATTCCTTGAGGTAGTCGTGGAATACAATACTAAGGTACTCACCTCCTCGATCAAATTAGAGCATCTTAATTTTCCTGCCCAACTGATTCTCCACTTCTTGCTTGAACTCCTTGAACTTTTCAAAGGTTTCTGACTTGTGCTTATGTTAGGAACAAAATCCTTAAAGATCGTTTTAGATTCAAAACATGTAAAATCAAGAACACAATGATGATTCAAATAATTTTGAATGATTAAGTGTCACGCCTCAGAAGAAATCTATGAAGAATTGCTACTGTAGAGGCATGATTAGGGTTACAACGTAATAATCAGAGTTAACTAAAATACGATGCATGCATGGATCTTAAATACTCTAACCCTAGAAGATAACATACGGGAGGACAGGCCCAACCCGTTTACAAAAAGACTAAACTAAAATCCCAATGACACAACATCTAATACCCAACAATCTCCCCCTTTGCGTCAATTGAGGCCCGAAACCATTAGCCTTGAATTCGCTTCTGCACTTCGTAAACTGTTGGAATGATGCCAAAAAATTACCTGTCGAACTTGCATGTACCACAAAACCATATCAGAGAAGTACTTGAGGTCATCCTTACTGTTGCCCTTGAATTTATTCACCAAGTCCAGTATGTACTCAAAAAAAGGATGTAGTATACAAATGCTTGTCAGAAAGGAAGAAACATCTCTTGCGAAAGTCTACACTAGTTCGTTCCATAGCTTGATACACCACGTACCATTCCTTACTGTAAATCTTCCCTAGCTTCAGCTTTTAGAAGTCCTTTGGGGATTCCTTACGAACAGTAGAAGGATTCTTTTGTAACACAGCGACTATCCCTACATCCATATCCCCAATCTCTTGAATGTAAGACTTTATCATTAACTGGAGATGAGACACGACAGGTTCGTATTTTTCTTTGTCTCTCAGCAGCATGTTGTAAAGAATGAGCCAATCATTAGGGTTAAGACAAGGTAAGTCTGCGAGTGTGAATTCGTATCACTGTCTGGCTGAACCTCTTGCCAATTTGAACTTTGCATTTGGAAAGCTGTCAGTCTCGATTGGTCCTGTGACTTTCACACCAGTTATTTTACTTAAAGACCATGTTTCATATTGCGGCTTCATATGCTTTAGATAAAAAGAGAACATCATGTGATCAGCCCCGCTATCTGTGATTGAAACGTTCGCAAGTTTCACAAAAGCACGAAATCTGAAAACTATTGGAGTGATTGGTAGATCCAGTTGCGAATCCTGTGTGTTTTGAAGATCGAATGACACAATTGGCTCTAACCAGTACTGGCTAGGTAAATCAACAACATCATTCTGGATTCGCTTCAAGGTCCACTTGGGAAATAAAAGCTTCTTGCTTTGAAGAGTGGCCTGAGCCTCTTTCTCAACTCTTTCTTTTTCTTCAGCCTCTCGGATGATTCGTTGGTGCTCATCCAGTTCGGCTTCACGAGCCTTTCGCCTTTTAAGCTCGTTTTCATCCAGCCTTCTTCGTCTTCACTATTATCGACGATGGGTTCTTCACTGAACAGTTTTTGCTTGCCCTTAGGTTCTTGCTTGACAACAGGTTTAACTGGAGCAACAGCTTTAACTGGAGCTTTGGGATCTTCTTTTCTTGACCCACCAGACACACCTTCTCCCCTTGTTTCTGATTAAAGCTTTGATCTGAAACACCTTCTAGCCTGTGAAACATGGCAAAAACGGGTCTCACTTTCTCATGCAGATGCTTTCGTACTATGATGGTGAGCATTGAGTCCCTGGTCTCAAGGATATCTGAGAGCATGCATGTAACATCTGTAATATAGCTTCGCATGACAACCCTCTCAGATAACAAATTGACCTGTTTCTCTAAAGCTTCCAATTTAGCACTTAACACCTTTACTTCTTCCGTATTGAGGGCAAGAGAGTCCTTGATTTTACTCTCTATTGCCAGTTCATCTTGAAGCTTGGTAATTTGAGAGGAGATGGAGGTTTGAAATGATTCATGGTCAGTTTTCAGACTCGTATGAATTTCTTGCAATTTAGCCTTCTCAGATTTAAAGAGAGAACCCAGACTCTTTAGAGCTTCATTGGCTGCCATGGTAATCGAGTTAAAGGTGTTTTGGAAATTCTCAATGAATGTAGTAGTGTCAGAAATTAGCTTATCGACTTTTTCGGTCGTTGTCTTGCAAACTTCAGCAGAAGCAGCAACTGCTTTATTCATCTTTTCAGCTTTGGCAGAATGCTCCTTCGTGATTCGTTCAAAGAGAGACTCAACTGCTGCTTTAGCGTATGCGTCAAAAGATGAAGCCTTGGAAGAGAGAATTAGTTGGTCAATCTTTTCATATAGGGACTGAAGTTTCCCTTTCATAACAGACATGTCATCTTCACTCTCAGTCCGTATTTAGAATGGACTGTAAGTGAATCCCCTAAGATCTTCATCTTCATCATCACCAAAGATTATATATCAGGGTCATCTCGGTTAAGAGGGGAAAGAGGGGGGTGAAACATGGTTGAGAAACCTAAAGTTTTAGCCCCCGTATCAGATACGTTAACCGAAATAGGAGGTTTAGTAGAGGTAGTAGATGGGATTGTAGCATTAGTGAACAGTGGGGTAGAAATAGGAATGCTAGTTTGTTGCTGCAAAGAGACTGGTGGAGGGCAAGGTGCAATGGTAATTTGGGTAGAATTGGTTTTAGCTGAAGGAGGAGGAGAAGGAACAGAATCGTTAAGAGTTTGAGTTACCTTAGGATTTGATGTCTCTTCTTCGTTGCGAACGTTATCATCGTCGTTGCGAACGTTATCATCCTCGTTACGAACGGGATCTTCCTCCTCTATGCGAATGTATGATTGAGTCTCAGACTCCGAACTTTGCTTTCACTTGGTGTGGGAGACTTTCTCTTGTGAGCAGCAGAAGAAGTTCCCGTTGGTGCCTTTCTTTTGGAAGGAGGTTTCGTAGCTGCAGAAGGCCCTTCCTTATCAATGATTTTCTTTTCTCCCTTCTTTAAACCTTTTTGCCCCCCCCCCCTTTTGGGTTTGTTAGCCTCAACTATGATAGCTTGCATTTCTTCAGTTAATAAACGAGGCCCAGATGGAGTCAATTTCCTGTACCCCTCCAAGATTTTGCTAGAAGGAGGCACATCTCGAAATGTTGCTTCTGGGATTGAACCAATAAAAGAAAACTTTGATGAATCTGAAACGATAATCCCAGTAGTGTGAAAGGTAAAGATTGATGCCATCAACGCGTCTTGCATTAGTGGGATTTTGAGTTTGTCAATGGACCGGTGGAAAATAAGGGTCCAAAAACATGCACATGAGATTTCACTGTGATGTGTGGTTGAGTGTGTGCTCTGAATCATTTGAGCCCAAAGAACAGAGCCGTAATCGACGTTCAAACCCGTGTAGAGACCATAGAGAATCATCATGAACATCTTGCTTGCACAATCCAATCCGGTTACTCTTTCAGAAAAACCCTTAAATAGTAAGGTGAAAAGACCATTCCACTGAGGAGGCAGATTGGGTTTCCTGAACTTTGAAATGGTGGTTAGGGTTTCTTTGTAACCCATTTGATAAAATATTTCGAGAAGAGCAGCACTTGTCACCGATTCAGGGTTGATCATGTCATTAGTTTGAGGAAGTTGTAGGAAAGAACGGAATCGAGATTTAGTGATGGAAGTTTTACGATTGTGGATCTCAAACGTGATCCTTTATTCTTCCTTAATATAGTTTGCCGAAGAGTAAGCTTTAGACAAGATTTAGAGCAGAACATTCTCCATCTTGTATAGTGCGATTGTTAGTGGAGAATACTTGAGGAATTCAATCATAGGAAGCATAAAACTATCGTACTTGACCGGGTCGAGATCAAGCACCAAGTTCTGATGTTGTTTGACTGCCAGAAGAGAAGAGTGTGCAGTTTGATCTTGAGCAGAGATGGTTTCAGAGGAACCCGCCATTGTTGAAGTTTGAGAAAGAAGAAGATGAACAGGAGAATACTATGATCGCCGGAGATTTTGAGAGGATTTTGTGAGTGGTAAATACTGAAGAGTCGTCAAAATCCTTATATACTGTTTGATTTGTGAGAGAAATCCGGAGAGAGAATACATCGGTTACTGGAATGTCGCCTAGAAAAGCGCGACTTGACAACTGTAGATGTCAGACCCATACGTCATGCGGCGGTAAAGTAGCTGTCGTTTCAAAACTTTCACGCGCCCATTTGAATTCTTATCAATAGGAAATGCCGCTTCATCATTACCTCTTTCGCAGTTGAGAGTGATTTCATTTGTCTTGCATGGAAACGAACTTCATTGATTGAACTGCGAACTTGTAAATAAACATAAGTACCACGAACCAGACTTTTGAAAATCACTAGGATCTTCGTGCAAGAGTGTCAAAGATAAAGAAATAAAACAATACTTGTAAGTGGGATTTTATGATGTCTAAATATAGACACGAAACTGTGGATCCTGGGCAAAGATCTTTTCCTTCAAAGTCAAGAGAGACTAAGAAGTGTCCGTGTGGTTTCCCGTTGACATACGATCAAGTGTTTTATAAGAAACATTGAAAGGCATCTTTTAATTAGGCTAAATGGGTGGCTAAATCTCCAGCCAAACAACGAACTTGATATAAGTATGAATGTTGGATGAAATACTCGTATGACCAGTGTAGGCAGTTAAACGAGTAGGTTTGGAATTATTTTGGTGCAAAGATTAAATCTTGAAATCTCAAAAAAAAAATTAAAACTGGATCTTGTGGGAAGAAGTGACCTGGAACCAGAACTCTTCATCAAGATCTCGCAAAATAAAAAGAGTTTCCTTGGTATAGACCACGAAAGTGGCTTTCGTTAATTCCATGGTGAAAATATAGAACATTTAATTGTTCACCGTCAATTCATGTAAGTGTGTTGGATTTTGGGTTTCACTCAGTTCGTGGTGAACGAAGCTAAGATCATTAACACAGATGTTGTGTAACCATAAACCTTAGTGGTATAGCTGAGAGTCTCAAGGGTTACATAAAGAGTGCGAAGGCAATGGAGAAGTGTGAAGGTGGTTCCAAAGAAGCGAATGTAACTCTGTTATACGAAAGTGACTAGGCAGATAAATCTTAACTCAAAGTGAGAAGAGTAAGGTAGCTCATGACTAATGTGCATTTAACAGCCTGGTTGGGAAGAAGCGATTGGTAGAATCGGTTCATTAAGGTTTCACATCGCGTCGATTGAGGCTTCGGACAACATACATCATCATTCTTCTAGGGACACTTAGCAAATACATAGATAAAGAGATTTATACCTTCCCTATCACACGAATTGAGATATGATACGAATCTGTGACTCCATGATCTTCTTAAGATATTTTTGGTGTTTTTGAGATTTGTGAAAAATAAAAGAAATAAAAACACAAACAAAATATTTTTTGTATTTTGAGATTTTCTGAAAAAGAAATAAAAACAGAAAAGATTGAAAGACCAAACAAGGATAAGAAATAATATACATAAAGAACAAAAGGATATTGGAAAATCTGAACCACGAATGAACAGTTGACTGCGAACTACTGTGAGAGTTCACACCGATTCACAGTGTTAAAGTAGACTGCGAATGAACAGTGGACTACGAACTACTGCGAACGTTCACACCGATTCGCAGTATAATCATTATGTATGTGAAAGTGCTTTTGGAACAGATTCAACTACCATCACTCCTATGCCTTGAAGAATTCTATTGAAGGTTGTTTCAGGCAAGAATTTTGTGAATATGTCAGCCAACTGATCAGAGGATCTCACGAAATGAATTTCAACGTTGCCGTCTTCCACATGATCCTTAATGAAATGATACCTCCGTGTTATGAGTTTCGTCTTTGAGTGTTGCACTGGGTTGTGACAAATGCGAATGGCACTTTCAGAGTCACAATATAGTGGGATTCGTTTCATGCTTAAGCCATAGTCACGAAGCTGATTTTGAATCCAAATGACTTGAGATATACATGAGGCAGCAGCTATATGCTCAGCTTCATCTGTTGACAAGGATACACACGTTTTCTTCTTGGATTGCCAACTGACAAGTTTGCCATCGAGAAATTGGCATCCTCCATTTGTGATTTTTCTATCTAATCCACATCCTCCAAGGTCAGCATCCGAAAACGCTTGTACGAAGAAGCCTGATTTCGTAGGATACCATATGCCAAGTGCTGAGGTTCGTTTCAAGTATGTAAAGATATTCTTGAAGGCCACCATATGAGGTTCGCGAGGATTTGCTTGAAACCTAGCACAATAACAAACGAAAAACATAATATATGGTCTACTAGCTGTTAGATACATCAATGATCCTATCATTTGACAATAAAGGGTCATATCAGCAGCTGGTTTACCAGAGATGTTGTCAGTTTCGTTCCGAATGCCATTGGAACCTTCGCTTTGGAGTCTCCCACCATTCCAAACTTAGCTAGTAAGGTCTTCGTATATGCTTCCGGATTTATGAAAATGCCTTCTGGTCCCTGTATTATATTCAATCCAAGGAAAAAGTTAATTGGACCCATGAAGCTCATCTAAAATTTAGGTTCCATCAACTTTCAGAATTCAGCTGTTAAGTTGGGATTCATAGAGCCGAAGATGATGACATCAACATAAATTTGGACGATCATCAAGTGGTCACCCTCTTTCTTGCGAAAAAAGGTTGGGTAAACCGAACCTTGTTTAAATTTGGACATTTTAAGGTAACGAGTGAGAGTTTCATACCAGGCTCTTGGAGCTTGCTTCAGACCATATACTGCCTTGTCTAAGATGTAGCAGTGATTGGGATACTTCTCACTTACGAAACCAGGTGGTTCTTCCACGTATATAGTCTCTTCTAATTCTCCGTTCAAGAAAGCACATTTAACGTCCATCTGAAACACCTCGAAGTTCTTGTGCGCTACGTATGCCAAGAAGATGCGAACAGATTCCAACCTTGCAATAGGTGCGAAGGTTTCTTCGTAGTCGATGCCTTCTTCCTGACAATACCCCTTAACCACGAGTCTCGCCTTGTTTCTTATAACATTCCCTTCTTTATCCATTTTGTTGCGAAACACCCACTTTAAACCTACAACCGATGCATCTGGTGGAGTTGGAATT